CTTCGCTCCATAAAAGACATTTTATCCCAGCGTTGTTTTTCCCGAGCCGGTAACATCATAAATGACCCCTCACACCCCCACCGTGGACTTTTCTCCCTGCTGCACTCTGAGAAGAGGCTTCGCAGCATTCGATGCAGGAACAGCACATTCTGAAACAGCTTCTTCCCCACTGCCATCAGGCAGCTGAACTGTTGAGAAAACTAAATCTTGTCACAGACTCTGCATCACACTGAACACTCACACATCATCTGTCCTCAGGTATCCTGAAAGGCTTTTTCAATAAAATGTGTTTTTATTACTGTTATTTTAGCAAAGTGTTCTTATTGAAATAGCAAAGGTTTTAGGAGCACTAAGGTGAAAGGTAGAATTTTGGTTCCAGTCTTAAACAGTAGTTTCGACACGTCTGCACTGAGCCAACAGAAAATGAATCAAAGCAGTAGTGTCCAGTAATTGTGTAAAACAGCATCAGTGAGTCTAACCAGCTGAAAGTCTCACTTCTCTACACGAAACCACTCTATGTTTACTTGTTAGCATTTAATTAGACTACATAGTTTATTGAACTATATACAAAAACCTGTACCATTATATCACTTTTACTCTCTTAAGTCTGCTATGAGTTTTCTTTTAACCAGTTTGTCGAGCATTTGTACAAACAGCAAACAAATGGACACTTAAATAGAATTTAAAAATAACACATATTTTTGTCATAGAAACACCATGTTTCAAAAAAGTCCTCATCTCTGGTCCCTTTGTTTGCCTTGCTTTATATTAATATAAAAGTTTTCTCTTCACTTGAACCCATAACTTCCATCCTCCATTATTCTGAATTTCTAAATTTTAAAGAAATACTGCTGGGCTACTGCATTCAATAAATTCAATAACTGTAATTATTTCAAATTATCATATATGACATAGTAAATAAAGCTTAATACGGAATCTTCCATTTTCATTGGCTTTATTCTTATGGTTTATGTAGCACACACTGGAGTGAGATTTATTTATCATGCCAGACATTTAAAGAGTTAAAAATTACCCATTTAAACTTTATGAATTTCAAAGGGTTAATGCACTCTTTCTCATCTCCCATTTTCAGAACAGTGCACATTTTGACAATATGGTTTAAACCGGTTTAATTCAGCAATATTCAGGCTCAGTGATGCCCTCTGGTTGAAATGTAGCTTCTGCAGTTTGGTGCAATGTTCCATGGGTGTCACATCTCACAGATTTATTGTATATAGTCTGTAATAAATTTATATGCATAGATGTGCACATCCTAGTGCTAAAACTTTGTTCTATCAAGTTTTGTTTTAAGTTAAATATTCAGAGTATATCAAATCAAACATCTAGGTTTACAAATATTATTCTACTCTATGTTGCAAATAACCAATTACATCTATCAGAAGAACAACCCTTATCTGCAGGCCTTTCTTTGCGACACAGACCTGCTTTTGAGTTTAGTTCTATGCTCTGATTTTTTTCCTCTAATAATGAAAATCTTTTGATGTTTACATGTGGACTCAATCTGGAGCTGAAAATTAAACTGATCTTCATCTGCGGCTTTCTCTCAGACAGCTGAGAGTTTGGATCAAAGCAGAGTTTTAGTTACAGGTGTTTATAATGTCACACGCCTTCTCAAAAATGTAGCTGAATCTGAAGTAAACTATCTCGACAGGAAGATGCTCGTTCCTAACTTTTTACTGTGTGTTTACTTTCCTTTTTATGATGGGGTAGATTTTTTTTTTCCAAAATGTAACCTTTAGACTTTTAATTCAAGTTTTTATTTAAAGTTAGTTACATCAAGTCATGACGAATTAATCATGAATCATTCATCCTTAGGAAGTACAGTCTGCTCTCTCCCTTCATGTAGATGGCTCCAGCCTAGTTTGTTTTCCAGGTGAACACTGAGGTATTTATACTCCTACACTATTTCCATTTATTCTCCCTTGATGTTAATAGGATTCAACTTGTTCCTGTTTCTTCTGAAATGTTGACATTCAGGATCAGATGATTGTTTCCACACTAAGCCACAAAGCAGTTCTCTGGTTCTCTGTACTCAGCTTCTTGGCCATCTTTGAGTCATTAGATTATTCCTGCAGGTAACAGGACTGCCTGGTGCTGGAAGTCAGAGGTTACAGAGTAAAAGGAATGGTGAGAATGCTGACCTCTGTGGTGCCCCTATGCTGTGGAATAATTGATTAGACAGCTGATCCTTCAGTGAAGCAAACTGTGGACTGTTTGTCAAGTAATCTTTGATCCAGGTTACTGTTGATGCCTCCACCTGAATCTTCTGAAGTTTCTGACAAAGTAAATCAGGCTGATTGTTGTTAAATCCTCTGGATAAATCCAAGAACATGATCCTCACAGTGCTGCCCACCTTGTCTAGATGACAGGGGGTGTTTTGAAGCAGGTGAATGATGGGATCTTCAAATCCAGACCCATGGCAATATGCAAACTGCATGGGGTCGAAGCACTCCAAAGCTTTTTAAGAGTTCAAAGGTGGCTTTATTTATGAGTCTAGAAAAAAACACTTAATGACTGTAGCTCCATAAGGCACTGGCAGTCGTAGATACAGGATCTATGCCTAGTTTGTAGCATTCTAGGCAGCATACTTGCGGAGTTCTGGAGAGCTGTAGGGGCCTGCAGCCTGTAGGCACCATTATTTCCCGTGTTTTTCTTCCTGACAAATCTATTAGCTTTTCAGGAAATCTCTCCCACAGGTAGGGTTGGGAATTGAAAAGATTTTCACGATTCCGATTCCCTTTTCGATTCTATGAAATGATTCGATTCTTTATCGATTCTTTTTTCGATTCCAATTTGGGGGAAAAAGGAGAACAAACAGTTTGATTATCAGAATCAACTTTGTTTACTTAACTATTGCACAATCTTACAAACTCAACAAGATCAAGATGTCCACAGGAAATGTGAAACTGGAGTAACATCTGTGTTTAAATGAAAAATAAATATACAAGAACAAACTTAATAACCAACAATGTCTAATAACAAATGATGGGATAATAACCTATTTTAAATAACAAAAAATACTAATTATAAAACAGTAGTAGGAAAAATTAACAGTCATTTTGCAGAAAGATGAGCATATCTGCTTTTTCTGGAAGGATACAGGATCTTTCAGGGCTTATGGTGTCTCCAGCCGTGGAGAACACCCTCTCAGATGGGGTGGAGGAAGCCTGCACACAGAGGTAGTTTTCAGCCAGTCAGATAGCAAGGGCAGCACATCTTGCTTGTTCCACCACCACAGTGTGGCGCTATCCCTGCAGGGGATGGAGGGCAAGCTTTTACAGAGCTGGATTTCCTGATCTACCCTCTGGGCTAAGGAAAGACGGGGCTTTGATTCACAAAGTGACCGCAGCTTGTCTTCCTCCTCGAATAGTTCTTCCAACTTGCGTAACTTGCGTAACTTGCGTAACTTGCGTAACTTACGTAACTTACGTAAAAAACGTGACGTAAGTCGTGCTCCCCAGAGCCGGCGCTCTAGGCTCTGGTGCTGCGGGAATCGAAAAAAGAATCGTTCAGTGAGCTGCCAAACGATGCCATGGAATCGGAAAATACGGAACCGGTTCTTAACAGGAACCGGTTTTCGATTCCCATCCCTACCCACAGGCCTCTCCAGGTGAGCCCAAATGTTCTGCAGAACTAGAATGCTTAACTCTGAGGAGGCCATCTAACACTTTAGTTTCTGTACTTGAAATATGTTTGGTTTATCTGAATCCATGCTTTGATTCACTGTAATGATGAAAAGACAAATATTTCTAAAACCCTCAGCTTTCTAACAGACATCTTGGCTTCATCACATTTTCTTTGGCCAGCCAGGCCTCCATGTCTCCTTTGGATTAAATGTTTCTAACAGCTGTGCCCCTTAGCTAATACCTATTGAACTTACAAAATATTGTTGTCATTTTAAGGAAAATATTCAATATTTGCTGGCCTTTTTATTAAGTATAAAGAAACACTCAGTTCTTATAATTTCACTGATCTAATCTCTATCCTGATTATTGACGACTGTTTGCCTTTTCCATCTGGGCGTTTGGGGCTGATTTTGTTATTGACATTTCCCTCCCCCTGCTACATCTCAGTGGACGGCACTGAAGCATTTCTGTAATAGAGAACCTGTGGAGGAAGCTCAAGAATAGGGTGATGGCACAGATGCTGTCTAAGAGTTGAAGCTCTTTACTAAATATAAATCTAAAAATACCAACACGGACAAATAAAAAGATGGTCAGAAACTAAAAGAAAAGTGTACATTTTTTAATAAGAAATACTTTACATACATGTTTGGTTCGCATGAAAAACATTTTAAATTTACATGAAAATACATATTTAGTTTTAACTTACTTCATTTACCATGATAACTCTCTCTTAAAACTTTCAAAACCTGCAACCTCAACACACATTATTTACATTAAATCTCATCTTTGCATAAAGATACATTCTATCAGGGTTTGGTTGTGGTTTAGAGGACCGAAATGCAGAGGCAGAGAGGCTGAGGTGATATCTTGCAGTTTAATTATTAAACACAAACCATTGAGGCAAAAATTCAACTAAAAATGTTAACAAACCACAAACCATGGAGACAAGAACTAAAATATATCCAGAAAATACAACAAATTAGGAATTAAACCAATAAAACTAGAAAACATGGAGCAAAGTAAAACATTACAGACACCTTCAGTCTGTTTCTATTGGGTTAAACTGTTGTGGCAATGATAAGTAGGTCAAAAAGGAAATTTAATGACAACTAGACGTGTTCTGAAAAAACAAAGTCTTTGAAGCCATAAAATAGCAGAAAATACAAGTTAAAACAGCAAAACAAAGCAATATGTTTAAATCAATGTTAAATGTTTAATAATATATGTCTACATTAAAAACTATAACTCATAACTTCTTGTTGATTTTGAATTATTTCATTTAATTGAAAATCTGATACTAAGACAAAATAAAACTGAAATGAAAGACATTTTTTGTGAAACATTGCTGTTGCTTCACTGAGAAAGGACAGGCTGCCATAAAAGAAAAACTGTGTCAAGAATTCAAATCCACAATTTGAAAAAAATAATTACATATTTTCCATCATCTGTGTATGTCTGTTATTGTTCTCGGATGTGCTTACAGCTGTTTCATAGATGGTTCTTAACTCAGCCTCCTTCACAGACTGAAACACACGAGAGGATGTTTTTGCGTTGAGATAATTTTCAGCCTGAACCGCCTGCCAGCCTAAACTGCTCCATGTGCTGCTGCTGGACTCCACCTTCATCTAAAAAAGCAAATAATTAAAATATTAAAAGTGAGTTTTTTTATGTTGCATTCATTTGTTGCAATAATCACTGTAAACTACATGCATTTAACAACTTGGCTAATTTTAAAAGCTTTACCGAACCTTAAATACGTTTCTGCTCATTACTATGAAGACGTGAACCTTTACTGTAAATATGCAACAGTATAAAATTAGAAAAAAAAAAACTAATGATACAGTTATAGATTACAATTTATTATGAGGGAAACTGAATTTTACAAATGAATCTAAGTGCAGTGACATTTACCTTTTGGTTATTGTCTGCTATATTGGAGGGAATTGTATTTTAGCAGTCACTGGATTCCAAGACAAAAAATAAGAGTATTTTTCCAAAGTAAAATAGCAACTTCATGATGATTTGAACACAGAATAAGAGGAAAAATAATTATTTAGAGACACTAGTTCACTGACAGCATTTATTATATATATATATATTCAAAATTAATGCCATGATTTCTGTTTTTTTATGCATTACTTTTGTCATTTTAAATTTTACTTGCAGACTATTTTTCTGTCTTTAATGGAAGGGTATGTAAAAGTTCAAGCAAAATTGCACGTATTTTAAAGCCAGTTGAAAGTTCTTAATGTGCAAAAATGAAATTTTCTAAAACATCAGTATTATTTTATTGCATTATAAAAAAAATAAAAAAAACATATCTGTCATGATTTGTTAGGAGGTTTTTGTGAGGACCCAAATGCAGAGGCTGAGAGGCAGGGGTGAGTTCTCTGAAGATTTAATTAACAATCACAGGCAGCAAAAACAGGAATCCAAAAACTCTGACTTAAAAATGTTAATCAAAACAGGAATCCAAAAATCCCACATAAAAATTAAACACAAACCAAGACCATGGGGACATCAGATGGACACAATCATGAGGAGTGAGGGTAAGACAAAGAAACACGAGGAACCAGCATCAGGGACTGCAGAGGGAGTGTATTTATGGCTGACTGAACAAAGGCAGGACTAACGAGCTGGTAAGGAGCAGGTTTGAGTAGAGCGGACGAGGAAGCCAAGGCAAAAGAAAACACAAGGGGGCAACAAAGGGCAAGCAGAGAAAACCTAAGAAACATAAATAAAACCAGAACTGACCAATAAAGCTAGAAAACAAAGAAAAACCTGGAAAAACTGGAAACTGAAAACTTAGAGAAAACCAACAGAACCAAGATTGTTACAATATCTACCAAATGGGCTCCAGAGTGGCGCATTGGGTAGCACTAAAGGTTTTGGGTTCGATTATCGGCCTGGGGACTTTCTGCATGGAGTTTTATTGTTCTCCCTGAGCATGCGTGGGTTCTCTCTGGGTACTCCAGCTTCCTCCCACAGTCCAAAAACATGACCGTTAGGTTAATTGGCTTCTCTGAAATTCTGCTTAGGTGTGATTGAATTGTTGTTTGTCCTGTTTGTCTCTGTGTTGCCCTGCTATGGACTGGTGACCTGTCCAGGGTGTACCCCGCCTCTTGCCCGTAGACAGCTAGAGATAGGCACCAGCACCCCTTGCGACCTCGTCAGGGATAAGCGTGATGGAAAATAGATTGATGGATACCTACAAAATTGTATTGTAACTCAGTTTTCCAATCACACACACCAATTCGGGGAAAGTTATAGTTTAACGTTATTTTAGATGTATAGTGCTTATATTTATCCAATATTTCATCCATGAATTTGAATTGTATTGTATTTAAAGATTAGTTCAATATGCAGTAACTAGATTATTAACTTACAGTAGCAGTCATTCAAAATTGTCCTTCCCGATCAAACGCCAGCTGAATGGCAGACAACTTCCAGCCATTGGAGTGACCTCCTCCTTCTCCTAGACGGGCATATGTTTTTACTCTGACTCCACCCTTTCACTGAATTACAGGGTCTGACCAGGAGATGGCGCGTCACTTTAGATCTTAATGTCCACAAATCATGATGGAAGAAATATTTTAGTACAAAGATTTATGATTAAAAATTTATTATGGGGGACCAGCCAAGGGCCCATCAAGAAAAGTTGGGATATTTTGAATGGCTGCTACTGTAGTTACTTTTTTAAGAACCATAACCAGTTCCCTTTTCTTTTAAAGTAATACTTCTGTTGGAGTTGAAGGCACCTACCTGGGGTTTCTGTTTTAATATTAGTGTAAATAGTATCCTCATTTGGGTCATCAGGGCCCCCTGTTAATATGATTAAAAAAAAAGATTCACAAAGAAAAGAATATTTAAATGGGAAAATGTTAAAACATCTTTTCTCATAGCTGCTGATCCTGGTTTTCACAAGAAAACAAATGTTGTTCTTAGAGGACTATTTCATTATCCTGGCATAAGCTGGATTGATACCGTGAAGTATTTGAATTGAACTACATGTATAAATGTGGGAAAGCTCCCATAAGAAGTGTTGGCAAAAGGGAGGGACATTCAGTACAATTCTACGAGATTACTGGCTACGAGATTTTTTAGCCAATCATAACAGCAGCAGTAGCAGTTTGATTTGTTCCAAAACCAACAGAATTAACTGATAAATCAAACTCTAACCAAATCCGGTTAGGGGGGACGGGCAACAATCTTCCAATCCACAAAAGAAAAAATTGCTTCCTTCACTTATTTTTCAAAAGAAATAGAGATTATTCCAGCTATCAAATTCCTGTTCAGCTAATTAAGTAAGAACTTTGAAATTATTACTGAAATACTTATTCCTTTTAATTTCACACCATTGAAATCTGTCAGCTGAAATCAACCAGTTGTTACATCCCTGACTGCTTCAAGAAATATAGTTTACCTTTGTTTGTGGCTCGTTGGATTGACTCATACTCAGAAGTATCACCTGTAAAACAACAAAATAAAAGGTCAAAGTTAAAGTAAAACCGTTTGATATATTAAAGTCAAACATTTAGATTTCAAAATAATTAAATTCAGGTGTAAACCAGGTTTAACTGTTTTTTCCATCGTTCATGGAACAAACTCCAATATGACTGTTTTTATGAATATTTATTAAACGAAAGATTTTTAGGAAATAATTCAGTCTAAATCATATAAAAAAGCTACTAACGGTGCAGCAGAGAGCTGTAAACTTGACTGTCTGCCTGGTTGACTCCATGATTGGTGGTGGAGCTTTGACTGCTGCTTTCTGACCTTAATATGTTAAAAGTTAAAGTTAAATTTAAACAATAGATGATGATGATGATGAATGTTTAAAATCAGAGGAAAGTGAACCATGATGTACTGACCTGATGCTGCAGAAATCTGTGGACAAAAAGAGGGAATTTGTCAAATTGTGATGCAAATTGTTTTATATCTGTTTTGTCAAAACAGTAACATAGATTTAAATTAAAGTATTAAGTCACTACATAGTCCACCACAGTATGAAAAGAAAAAGGCTCTCACCCTTTGACCGTATGCAGCACCACAGGATATGTGGTGCAGCGGCAGGATAATGAGGATAATGACAACTTTTCCAATAATTGGTCCAATGTTAAAACCGTTATTTCTATCTGGAAAACAGTCAGAATATCAGGTTTTGGTCAGCAATCAGTTTTAACCTTTAGAAAAGTCTAATCTGTCATATTTGGAAAGTAGCTCTTTCATCTCTAGAAATTAAACCAAGGCAATGGACAGAACACTTTCTACTAACAATACAAGAATCTTAGATTCTTAGAAATTAGTGATTGTTCTGAATTTATGCTAATTACAAAAAATGGTCACTATTATCAAACATTGCACTGAATCATTTATGATCTTGAGATTTGGGATTAAACTCTGGATGTTTAAGGTAATGATTTCTTATTTGAAGGTAAAATGTTGGTGCTATTTTTCACTCATTTTTCATGTTAAGATTGGAAAGGATGGCTTTATCTTATCAGTTGTTATTTCATTTTATTACATTCTCCTAGAAAACTATACGTTTTGTGTGACACCTGGATATAAACCTGTTATCTGATCTATTTCAGTTCCTAATCTGAAACAAAATCACAGCATGTTTCCATTTTAAGTTCTCCTCAGAATTACATTTAAACAGAAATTTCTGATCCTGGTCTTCAGTGTTGAAGTGAGAGATCTTTGTTCAGTTATGCTGCTTTCATTTATCTCATACAAAAAAAAAAAAATAATAAAACCAACAATGAATTCTCCAAAAAATGTGTGTTATTCAGAGCAACTAAAATCTACACTCACCGGCCACTTTATTAGGTACCCCATGCTAGTAACAGGTTGGACCCCCTTTTGCCTTCAGAACTGCCTCAATTCTTCATGGCATAGATTCAACAAGGTGCTGGAAGCATTCCTCAGGGAGTTTGGTCCATATTGACGTGATGGCATCACACAGTTGCCACAGATTTGTCGGCTGCACATCCATGATGAGAATCTCCCGTTCCACCACATCCCAAAGATGCTCTATTGGATTGAGATCTGGTGACTGTGGAGGCCATTTGAGTACAGTGAACTCATTGTCAAGTTCAAGAAACCAGTCTGAGATGATTCCAGCTTCATGACATGGCGCATTATCCTGCTGAAAGTAGCCATCAGAAGTTGGGTACAATGTGGTCATAAAGGGATGGACATGGTCAGCAACAATACTCAGGTAGGCTGTGGCGTTGCAACGATGCTCAATTGGTACCAAGGGGCCCAAAGAGTGCCAAGAAAATATTCCCCACACCATGACACCACCACCACCAGCCTGAACCGTTGATACAAGGCAGGATAGATCCATGCTTTCATGTTGTAGACGCCAAATTCTGACCCTACCATCCGAATGTCGCAGCAGAAATCAAGACTCATCAGACCAGGCAACGTTTTTCCAATCTTCTATTGTCCAATTTCGATGAGCTTGTGCAAATTGTAGCCTCAGTTTCCTGTTCTTAGCTGAAAGGAGTGGCACCCGGTGTGGTCTTCTGCTGCTGTAGCCCATCTGCCTCATAGTTCGACGTACTGTGCGTTCAGAGATGCTCTTCTGCCCACCTTGGTTGTAACGGGTGGTTATTTGAGTCACTGTTGCCCTTCTATCAGCTCGAACCAGTCTGGCCATTCTCCTCTGACCTCTGGCATCAACAAGGCATTTCCGCCCACAGAACTGCCGCTCACTGGATGTTTTTTCTTTTTCGGACCATTCTCTGTAAACCCTAGAGATGGTTGTGCGTGAAAATCCCAGTAGATCAGCAGTTTCTGAAATACTCAGACCAGCCCTTCTGGCACCAACAATCATGCCACGTTCAAAGTCACTCAAATCACCTTTCTTCCCCATACTGATGCTCGGTTTGAACTGCAGGAGATTGTCTTCACCATGTCTACATGCCTAAATGCACTGAGTTGCCGCCATGTGATTGGCTGCTTAGAAATTAAGTGTTAACAAGCAGTTGGACAGGTGTACCTGATAAAGTGGCCGGTGAGTGTATATTTCTATCTGCATTTGGACTCATAAAAGCCAATTGTAATTGATAATTAATTAATTAGTGAATTAACCATCAGGTAATAAAGTAATCAGTCTGTTTAACATGCCAACTGGTACAATAAAAAATAACTTTGAGCAGGAAACAGGTCAAAACTGTAAAAAATATATAATAATTTGGATGATTTCAGATGAAAATCCTTCTTTGTCTATAAATGTTCTCTAACTAGAACTCATCAGGTGGCAGTTTTAGCTTCACCTGAATCAGATCCTGAAAACAGATTTATGAAAAAAAAAACTTGCTATGAGGTTATCAGTCCTTAAATCTTAAACTTTTAAAAACTAACTGTAAGCAAAAATAATCATTAGCTGCAGCTCAGACATTTCTGATGAAAAAAGGAAACGTATTAGAAAAAATAGAAACTTAAAGGAAACTTCATTCTAGAAAGAAGTGGACTATGAGAGATGACGTTTATTACATTTTCTGTAAATTATTATTTTGCTCTATTGAAAAAACAATACTTCTATTTTTCTACTCCCCTCTATTGCTCTATTATAAACTCTGTTTCAGGTTTATGTTCTACAGGAAGATGATTTATCTGTTATTTCTGCTAAAAACTACCTTGGAGAAAATATTTACTTAAACACATGAAGCCACATGTTGGAAAAACAGAAATGTGAAAGAAGGAAGCTGAGCTGAAGGATTTTGAAGGAAAAAAAATATTTTACCACCTTTTTAATTTACCGGTACTTCTAAGTTTTCTTGGAGGGAAAATACAACATATCAGTCTCTGGATATTAATGTTATGTTCACAGTAACTGCAGCTTTTACAGTATGTGGAAACACAGGAAAAGGTGAAAGGAAATATAATCATCAATCATAACCTACCCTGTACAGTGATGTTGACTGCGTTGCTAAAATCTCCTGATCCAGACTCACACCAGTACACTCCACTGTGAGACCAGTCTGTGTTTATAGAACATGAGGATCCAGTCATTGTCCCCCAGTTGGAGCAGTGAATGTCTGATAGTCCACCTGTTTCTGTAAACCTCCTCAGTCTCCACTCAGTGTTGTTCCCACTACAGCTCAGAGTGACAGACGGATTGATAAAATGTTGAACTCTGTCTGGAGTCACTGAGAGAGAAGCAGCTGGATGAGAGTCTGAAAAACAACAACACGAAAATAAAACATAATTAAATATTTGCAAGGCATCTCTTTAACAGTTATGTGGAAGGAAAAATTTTGTCCAATTTAAATGGATTGTAAAAAGATGTGATTTACAGAAAGATACACATCAAAGGGGCCTAATCACCTTCTATAGCAAAGACCCTAAACCTCAGATATTCATGTTAAAACAAAGCAATAGATGCCAAGCATTCATCCTGATAGTGTTTACTTTGTTCTTTTTGAGCATGAAAAGATTTTCTTACCAATTGCGATCAATAGACATAAACTCTGCTGTGCAGCCTCACCATCATCTAACAAACTCTGGCAGCTTCAGTTCCTGCCTCAGTGAAAACCAACCAACCAATGTTCATATTTATCCTAAGCACTACTCAGCTGTTTCCCTCTTGGCATCAAAAATTTCAAGGGCGTAGGTTTCATTTGAACTTTGGTAGGGACACTATTGGTCAGGTGTCATTGTTGCTTTGCGATATGCATGCCCTTTTTTATGCTCGATGTGAGCATCCGTACTGATAAGAGGAATTCATTGTTAAAATAGAAAAGCATCATTTTGCTACATTAATAAAAATTTATAAGCACTACACTCATTAGATGCTGTTTATCAATGTTTGAAGTATCACCGGCTATGATGAATGTAGAATTAGGACTGTTTTCCACGTTGAAATGGTTTCATTTGAACGACTAAGAGAGAAGGTAAATACAGTATTTTCCTTTGAAGATATAGAATTGTGCAGAGTTAAACCCCACTCTTATATTTTTACCTACTATGCTCTTTCTGTATTAAGCAAAATAATACATTCATTAAAATATCAACTTCACTATAAAAGTTGAACATCTGGGCTGTAGTTACTCTGTGTAGCCCATTTCATGTATTTTACCTGGGGCTGAAAAAATGAATCGTATTAATTAATTATTTAAATAATCACCAAGTAATTTACAAGTGATTCATCATTAACTGGAGCATAGAGACTTTAAAACATACAGTAATATAAATGTAAAATGTGCCTTTCCCCGACAGAGCAACCCACTTAGATCTGTAATTATACCAAAATTGTAAAAAATACAATATATATATAATATATAAGATTTAAAAAAATGTTTTTGTTATTCTCCATCCAGAACTCCTCATGTGGAAATATTTTAGTTTCACCTGGTTTATTTAGACATCACCTGAAGCACTGAAGGGCCAGCTGCTTCACCTACAAGCTGCCCTGTATCGTTATTACTGGATATCTGTGTTTCCTATAATCATATAATGTATGAGTGCATTATAAGTGCATTTTTAATAGTAAAGGATTAAATGTAACACAGCCTTTTATCATTGTCCTATATTGCTTACTGTCTGACTGTTTAAATAGCTCCTTATGTTTATTTCTTTTTAGCGGCATCATCTACAAACACAACACTGAGAATGAGCCTAAGTATATTCAAACATAAAATCACTTTCAACAATTATAAAAGACAATATAACACTATCTTATCTGTAATTTAATAATATCCAAAATAAACAGCCAGATTCAAGCGGTTTTACCAGACATTAATGCTTTTACTAATTTACTTATAGTCTGTGTGGAAATCTATGTAAGATAAAATCAATGTTAACATTCTTCCTCTGTTTGTTCTTGTCTTTATCCTATTCCTAGAAGTAGAAATAGTCAATTAAATTACTACTATTATGTGGGACCCAGATGTCCGGCTTTAGGACAGACAGTCGGGATTTTCATTGCACTGTCCGGCATCCAGCCGGACGTGTATTTGTCTTTCTATACCCCAGTGGTTCTCAAACTTTTTCTGTCATTCCCCACTTTGGACAAGAGGGAATTTTCAAGCCCCGCCTGTCCCCATCGCCCCAACACTATGCTAATGAAATATGCAACAATCTTAAAATGTTCCAATTTTATTGAAGTAACAAGTAGTATCTAAATACAAACTATCTACATCAAATAACAGCAAGCTCAAAAATAAAGAAAATAAAAATGCAGCTGTGTCAAAATTTGTATCAAGCTCAAAGATAGAAAAAATTAAAGTGCCACTCTGCAATCTGTTAATAAAAGAAAAGAAGTGAAATCCATCTGGCAATACAGGTCTATTTATCCCTGCATTAGTGGCTGCAGTGAGCCTGTTTTGCATTGCAGTTTCTCAAAACGGGGTTGCAGGCTTGATACTGCCACTCTCAAGTCATGCTCAATGTTCAGCTGAGATCTGTATTTTGTTTTCAGTGAAGCAACAGTTGAAAAGCCCATCTCACAGAGATATGATGTGGCAAAGGGAAGAAGAATGCACACAGCTCTCTGCCCGATGAGTGGATACTCCCTCTCCACTCCAAACCAGAATTCACTATGAGTCTGAGCATTAAACCTGAGCCTCAGGGTGGAGTCAGACGTCATTTCAATAAACTGGTCCTGTTTATTTAAGATAAAATATTTCAAATTCAGTTATTTATGATCTACCTGCGCCGTCAATCCCGGCGCATGTGCGCTTTATTTGCAGTCTAGACGCTGAGGGTAAACATGCTGTGTGTCTGACTGCAGCGCTGAGAGGGACTCCTGTGATAGCGGGGGAGAACGGGGTGGGGATGGGGGAGGCGCCCCACGGCAGCACCTGCCGCTGGAGGACAAGAAAAGGAACGATACGTGCTTTCACGTAAGAGTCTCCAAAAGTCGCTAATTTGTCGCTTGTCGCTTTTTTGATAAAGAGTCGCTGGAGGGGTCTGAAATATAGCGACAAAGTCGCTGAGTTGGCAACACTGGGGCGCGAAAGTTTATTCCGTTACAAATAATATGCCGACGTTATTTTGGCACTTCAGTTCCAGGTGAAATTTTTCTAATGTTCTTTTAATTAGACTGCATGTAGGCTAGTAATGATTACTTTGTGGGTTTGATTGGTCTAAAAAGCGGCAACATACAGCTATAAGGACAGTTTGCTCTCACACGTTCTACATTTATAGTCACACACACACACACACACACACACACACACACACACACACACCGGAACTTGGCGCGCCCCACCTGTCACGTCTCAATTCCCCACCAGTGGGTCGCGCCACACACTTTGAGAACCACGGCTATACCCCCAGATTCCACATACTCCGTCAGCGCTCCACTCCGCTCACGTACATTGTGCGGAGTACTTGTCTGTCATGTAAATCAATGAGAGCTTTTCCACATCCTCCACTACTTCTCAGCACATCTCTCTCCACGTAAGTCTTCTCTGTCCTTCACCTTCAAAATACGGAACTGAGCTCTTTTTTGCTCCGCTCCGGTCAGTCCAGATCAAGATCCGCAATTGCAATCGTAGCAAACAGGAAAAAGAATGTAGAAAAGACCTGGTTTGTCAAACTAAATTATAGTAAAAACAGATCGGTAACTACAAATTAGAGCATAGTTCGTATATATTCCCAAAAACTAAGAGCAATTAATTAAATCATTGGATGCAGACTATTGGTGCTTCAACAGACCAGGAAGAAGTTGTAAGATTCTAGAGCGCAACTCACAACTTTAAAAGAAAATTCTTATTGCAGGAATGGATGAAGAGATGATGAGTTTGGAAGCAGAGAACAAACAGAGTTCATACAAACTATATATGATCCTAGTTATCCCTGTTACAAAAATCCACAGAAAGAAAATATTTGGGCAGAAAGTGAACATCTGCTGGATGATGATGTTTGTTTGTTTTTTATATGTCATTAAATAAAACTTTCACAGGGTTTATACAGGAATGAGGAACTCTAGATGAATGCTCTTTTAATGCTATTAGAAATAATTTTAATGGCATCAACAAGTATCATGTACACAAGTTATTAGTTTACATGAAATAGGGAGCTGTAAACACAGTAGCATGACTGAAGTTTGTACATAGCTATAGATAGATAGATAGATAGACAGACAGACAGACAGACAGACAGACAGACAGACAGACAGACAGACAGACAGACAGACAGACAGACAGACAGACAGACAGACAGATAGATAGATAGATAGATAGAGAACACAGGGAAATATACTTTACTCTCGACAGGCTGCAGCCATGTCACGAATTCCTCTTTTTTACTATTATTATGTGGAACCTCGAGCCTCGAGCTTCTTTTCCAAACAACTGCTTTGTGATCAATTGCAGCAGTTCTGCGCAAATTAATTGTGTCAAAAAACCTCCTCAAAGAGTCATTGAAAAAAATGAAAACAGTAATAGCAACTAAATATTGGTAAAAAGGAAACCCTCACATTTTCCTCTTTTAGTTGGCTGTGGGTAAGAATCAGAAATGTTGATAGCTTACAGCCTTTATTTGCCAATTTTTCCAGCAGTCTTCAGAACTCTTGGCTGACTCAGAATATTTCTTTTTATAAACAAAAAAAAAAAAAAGGGGTTTTTGTTTTTTAGTGGGGGGTACTGTCAGAGTCTTGGTCTGTTTGTTTCTGTTTTTCTTGGTTATCCATTTGTTGTCCTCTGCTGCCCTCTTGTGTCCTCCCTTGCTCTGTTTCTCTGTCCTGCCTGCACCTGTTTTCAATTCCCTCGTCAGCTCTCTCTTTGTCTCTGTCCCCTTTAAAAGCCCTCCCTCTTCAGTTCCTGTTTGCTGGATCCTCGTCTAACATCTCTTCTAACTTCTGTCTGTGTTCCTCGTCTCTCCCTGGCTTCTAGTTCTGGTTTACCCCTGATGTCTCCTTGGTTCTGGTACGTTTGTTATTTTCAGTTGGACTTTGATTCCTGCTTCTGGATCTGTGAACCTAAATAAACAGACTTTAATTCACCTCTGCCTACTGGTCTCTGCGTTTGGGTCCTCCAAACAAATACCGCTTCATGACAGAAGGATCCAGCCAACAACATGGACCCAGCAGGGAACCAGGCATGTGAACTCCTCAGACCTCCCCATATACAGAAGTCTGACCTTTGGAGCTTTTTTTATGGGGAGAGAGAAGATTTTTCTTTGTTCCTGCCACCGCCATCAGCTCCAAGAGCCCCTCGGCGGGGGCTCCAAGCCTCCAAGGCCCCTCAGCGGGCGCTCCAAGCTTCTAAGGCCCCTCAGCGGACGCTTCAAGCCTCCAAGGCCCCTAAGCGGGCGCTCCAAGCCTTCAGGGCCCCCTCCATGGTGGTTCCTGTGCCGCAGTGGGCGGCCCCTTCGGAGGCTGTACCTGAGCCGCAGTGGGTGGCCCCGTTTGAGCCTGATCCTGTTTCTGAGCCGCAGTGGGCGGGCCCTTCCGAGCCTGATCCTGTTCCTGAGCCGCAGTGGGCGGCCCCGTCCGAGCCTAATCCTGTTCCTGAGCCGCGGTGGGCGGCCCCGTCCGAGCCTGATCCTGTTCATGAGCCGCAGTGGGCGGCCCCGTCCAAGCCTGTTCTAGAGCCGCAGTGGGCGCCCCCTTCCGAGCCTGTTCCAGAGCCGCAGTCGATGGCTCCCTCCGAGCCTGTTCCAGAGCCGCAGTGGGCGGCCCCTTCCGAGCCTGTTCCAGAGCCGCAGTCGACGGCTCCCTCTGAACCTGTTCCAGAGCCGCAGTCGGCGGTCCCGTCTGAGCCTGTTGCAGAGCAGCAGAAGCGGAAGTGGCGTCCTCCTCGGTGCTTCCTGCTGAAGCGGAGGCTGCGTCCTCCTCGGTGCATCCTGCTGAAGCGGAGGCGGCGTCCTCCTCCGAGGTTCCTGCAGCATTGGAGACGCCGGCCTCCAGAGCGTCTGCCTCGCCTCGGCCCCGCGGCCGGCCTCCAGAGCGTCTGCCTCGCCTCCGGTCCCGTGGCCGGCCTCAAGAGCGTCTGTCTCGCCTCCGGCCCCACAGCCGGCCTCCAGAGACTCTGCCTCGCCTCCAACCGCGGGGCCGGCCTCCAGAGACTTTTTGTTGCCCTCGCCCACCCTGGATGGGTTGTTTTTTGTTTTCGGACTCTGTTTTGTTTTCGTGCCTGCCTCCCTGGTTCCCCCTCCGCCCGCCCTGGGTGGGTTGTTTTCTGTTTTTGGACATTTTAGGGCGTCTGGGATCCGCCCTTAAGTGGGGGGTACTGTCAGAGTCTTGGTCTGTTTGCTCCTGTTTTTCTTGGTTATCCATTTGTTGTCCTCTGCTGCCCTCTTGTGTCCTCCCTTGCTCTGTTTCTCTGTCCTGCCTGCACCTGTTTTCAATTCCGTCGTCAGCTCTCTTTGTCTCTGTCCCCTTTAAAAGCCCTCCCTCTTCAGTTCCTGTTTGCTGGATCCTCGTCTAACATCTCGTCTAAATTCTGTCTGTGTTCCTCGTCTCTCCCTGGCTTCTAGTTCTGGTTTACCCCTGATGTCTCCTTGGTTCTGGTACGTTTGTCATTTTCAGTTGGACTCTGATTCCTGCTTCTGGATCTGTGAACCTAAATAAACAGACTTTAATTCACCTCTGCCTACTGGTCTCTGCGTCTGGGTCCTCCAAACAAAGACCGCTTAATGACAGTACATGATATTCTTTTTTTTTTGGGGGGGGGGACTTGTTTTGTAACTTAATATTAATTGTAGTAACCGCGACATTCTAGTGTGAATAAATGTTGTGCTCCAAGCACACGCAGACTAGAAAACAGCCAATCAGAGAGAGAGAAGGCGGAACCTAAGGCAGAACAACCAATGAGAAACAGCGCAGCACAGTTCCACGCGCTGCTACATGAAAAGGACAGGAGAGACCAGGCAGAGGAGCTGCGAGAGGAAAAGAAGCCACTGCTGCAACAACTAGTGCTGTAATTTATAAACATGTTGCTCACATCCAATTATTGGTAGGGACAAGAGGGTCGGTTCAAAATGTTGGTAGGGACATGTCCCTATGGTCCCTATGCAAACCTACGCCCATGAAACATTTTGTTCTGCTTTTTCACACTTTATCTGGACTTTCTCTCTTTCTTTTCACATCTCTGGTTGCTTTGTTCCATTACTCTCTGGTTTACTCATTGCACACATGGACAATATTGTACATCTAATAACGTGATCTTATGGTTAATATTCAAAAGACTAACGTTTAAACAAATAGAGCAAAGCAAAGAGAAAAAAAACAGAAATAAAATACAATAAGCCAACAAGGCACTATCATTTATTCCAAAAACCTTTGTAAAAAAAACAAAGATACTGGTGTAGAAATTTGTAGAGCCATAGTACTGTATGTGACAGCCTGCCTTCAAGCAGAGGGTAAAATCTAAGGAATGAAAGACAAAAATCAAATCTAACAGTGAATTACTATCTAGTTAATTTTTTGGGGATTCTCCTTAATTAATGTGACAAAAAGTCTCACTGTCTCAAAGTTCTAGAGCTCTAATATATCTATTGTTTTATAGCACGCTTAATCCCAGCTGGGCTCAGAAGGGGCGCTGATTCCTATCTCCACCTGGAATGGGCTAGAGGCAGGGTACATCCTGGACAGGTCACCAGTCCATCTCAGGGGAACACAGAGACAAACAGGAATGATAACCATTCACACACTCACATCTAAGAAGAATTTAGAGAAGCCAAATAACAGTTGTGGTTTTTGACTGTGGTAGGAAGCTGGAGTACCCAGAGAAAAGCCATGCACGCACATGGGAACAAGAAAACTCCATGCAGAAAGACCCTGGGCTGGGAATCAAACCCCAAACTTTCTTGCTGCAAGGCAGCAGTGCTACCCACTGCACTACTGAGCATCCCTGAGCAGCTCTAATATAATAATAGGTAAATGCAGCCTCTACCCTTTAGTATCAGCAGTAGATTACCACTGGATGACCTTAATGATCTAGGTGGGACCAACCAGGTAGTCACTAAGGTATGGAGGCCAAGGCAATGAAGACCTAATAACCACTAAAATCTTCCGATAATTGTAGAGAATGCCATTGGATTGATTTGAGAACCAGAGTAACATGGCCACCTTTCTGTGTGTTAAAATGAAGCTTAATGTAATCAGAACTGGTTCAGTAGGATGAAGCTAAATCATTGACAGCTAACATTGACTCTAAAAAGAGATTTGGCATTATAAAGTTAAACATAATAAAATCAAACAATGTATTTAAACATTAACTATGAAAAGAAACAATGAAGCTGATAATCTTTTTAATCTCTTTTTAATTTGCTTTTAGAGTTGTGGCAGATTTCTATGGCCCCTCATAACTTTAAGTTACCATGGCAATGCAGGTTGGCATTGTTTTGGCATCAGGGGTGGAGTTAAACTGAAGGCTCCTTTTTCATAAAAACTGAGCAAAAGTTGCTTCTGATTGAAGCTGGTTTTGTTGTTGTCATGACCAGGTTGACTGAGAATTTGCACAGGTACTTCTCAGTTAAGATTTCAGAGTTTGCTGCAGTTACAGCTAGTTTGACTAGGCTATGATAATGGAATGTAAGATATTTGAGCTTTACAAAGCTATATTCCTACTTAAAAAAACTCTGCCACTGTTGTCCCCCTTGTCCGTCTGCTATTGCTGCCCCCAGATGACTAATCCACTTGACTTTTTAAGGAATAATGGGATACGTTATGACTAAAAGGAATCTTGGGTAAAAAAAAAGACAGAATCAGCCTAGAATGGCTGCCTTCAAGCAACGGAGCCCCTGAATATAGACATACACTTAGACTTAAACTGATGGACTGCAGGTAGATGAGAGGAAGCCAATAAAACCTGAAGGAGACTTCAGATAAACTCTTTCAAACCTGAACTGATTGTAAATATAATGGACAGCATTATAGATGCAATGAAAATTGTTGAAAAATAATCAACATTTAAAACAAAAGGATCCTTGAATGAACAGAGACAAACTCACCTGCAGACCAGACAAACTTCGGTACACTGTAATTAGTGTAAAACACTGGTTCTCCTCTTCCTGCTCTGCACACATATCCTGCTGTGTGATTCTGTCCATTAAGGAGGTAGGAGTTCTGTTCAGTCCAGTTGGTTCTGCCAGTCAGCAGCTCTAAGCTGTAGGAGCTGCTGGATTTTGCTGGAACCACTTTATACCAGAAGAACCTCCATCCTGCAGATGGATGCTCCAACCCCCCACAGCTCAGAGTCACTGAGGCTCCAGGACTCAGCCATGATGCAGACACAGAGAGGACAGGCTGAGGTTTATCTGATGGAGACACAGAGAGGACAGGCTGAGGTTTATCTGATGGAGACACAGATGGTCAGAGACAGTCATGAGCTATCATAGTTTATTCTATTTTATTCTTATCCTTCATTTGACTAATGCAAAGTTCATTACCTTTGAGTTAAGCGGAGGTGGGAGACATAATGGCTGATTGAATCAACATTTTACACTTAGATTTTCATTACTGATAATTTTATAGGGATGTTTATTCATAAACATTAAAGCGACGTAATCTAAAGTTATATATATATTTTTTAATCTCAGTTGTTTTTCTAACCACAGCTTTTAGAGGCTTCAGAATATATACAATATAAACACATGAAAACAAAAAACCAGGACTGAGGGTAAAGATCAACAATCCTAAAACAATTACATATTTTTTAATAGCTTTTGGTCAATTGAGCAGTAGTATCAGGTGGGTTTTAATAAAAGTTTAATGTTCTAATCTTCTTATTATTTTAGCTGCTCTTATACTATTGTTTTATTGTATATATGTTTTATTGCATGTATTATGTTTTTATTTATTTTATTTAACTTTATGAATTATTTCACATGTTGATTTTGCTATGGACTCGGCTGGTTAAAAAGCTGCTGTAAATCTTTTAACTGGTTCTACCAAAACAGAACACAATACTCCATGAACTGTTCAGTGCATTTTAGAGTTAATTCTAAAATTGTCAGGATCCCAATTTTTGTGTTCGTCGTTTTGTCTTCTCTTTTGTATTTCTCCCTTTTACCACCAGGAGGCGCCTGGTTCGCCTCCTCACACACCTGCAAGCTGTTGCCTCATCACCGGACTGCTCTTAAGCTGCTGGTTGCCACTGCTTCGACACCAGAGTGTTTGCCAGTTTGGGGTACTCTAGCCAAGCCTTGTTTATGCTGAGTCTAATCTGGGTTTTGCATTTTGAGTTCTTGTTCTCTAAGCTGAGATCACATTGAGTTTTACTGAGTGCTTGTCTCTCCCTGAGTCTCAACTTTGTTTGTTCTTTGCCTTTCGGCAGGAAGCCTTCCTGCAAACTGGACCTTTTCAGACCGCCTTCTCCCAAGTGGGATCAACTGAGTCTTACACTGAGCGGCCGATTCCAAACCGGAGGTTTGGATCCATCCACCTTTGAGCACGCTGCCTGAGATCACTCTTTGAGTAAGGAAGTCATCTTCACCACGACCTGTTCAAGTACCACATGAAAACTGAATTGCAACCAGTGGCTGCATCATTCCACTCCGTCCGAGTTCTGGGTAAACCCTGTTCCGCCCTATATATATATATATATATATATACTTCTTTAAAGGAATAGTACACCCAAAACATGATTAGCCTTCATTTTCTACTCACCTCCATGCTGAACAACACTCTGGAGTACTTTTTTGATATCTCAAATGCATCTGGAGATCTGGGAGACTTCTTGCTGTCTGCTGACATTCAAATAATGGAGGTCTATGGCGCCCGAGACAGAAAGGTCCACAAAAGTCCACAAAAACTTGTCAATATTCCTCCATACTGCTCGTCCAATGTAATCCAAGTGTCCTGAGTGGGTAGCATCCAGAATTTACTCGAAACGAAGTCATTTAGAACGTTTTAGAGCCTAAACAGTAGTGTATAGGATTTCCTAATAGCGCCCCCATGCGCGCTCACGATTCTACGGAAGCCGGCAGACCAAACCAGCGCATTCAGCTCGGCAAAGAACTCATGCTCTTCCTCAACACTGAAGTCCTCAGACATTTTTCTTTCGTTGTTTCTTTCTTTGCACAGGTAAACAGCACATTTCTTCTTCTACGCTTGCATTATCGGCAGACCAGACGCTGAATGCGCACTTCCTTCCGGTTTGGTCTGCCGGCTTCCGTAGAATCGTGAGCGCGCATGGGGGCGCTATTAGGAAATCCTATACACTACTGTTTATGCTCTAAAAACATTCTAAATGACTTCGTTTCGAGTAAATTCTGGATGCTACCCACTCAGGACACTTGGATTACATTGGACGAGCAGTATGGAGGAATATTGACACGTTTTTGTGGACTTTTATGGACCTTTCTGTCTCGGGCGCCATGGACCTCCATTATTTGAATGTCAGCAGACAGCAAGAAGCCTCCCAGATCTCCAGATGCATTTGAGATATCAAAAAAGTACTCCAGAGTGTTGTTCAGCATGGAGGTGAGTAGAAAATGAAGGCTAATCATGTTTTGGGTGTACTATTCCTTTAAGCTCTTGGTTAGTTATGGCTAAAAAACAATAATAATGAAAAATGAATAAAGAAATAAAAGAGAGAAAAATAAAATTGATGTTTTTTTTTTAGGTGTATGTGCTCTAAGATATCAAAATCGTTTTCAGTCTGACTCACCTCTCACTGTCAGTCTGAAGGCATCACTCCAGGCTGTTATCTGGTAGTCTCCTCTAGCCCTGCATCTATATTCTCCTCTGTAGGATTCAGTAGCTGTGTTGATCCTGTATTCACTGGATGTTGGAGAGTTACTGCTGGTTGGTCTCCATTCATACGTCCACTGAGCTCCTCCACCTCCATAAATCTCACATCTCAGAGTGACTTTCTCTCCTCTGAATATCTGGGGCCAGTTGGGTTGAAGGGTCACAGTAGGCTTAGAGACTGGAATAAATAACATTCAATAAAAAGACTGATAGAATCCACCTTAAACTAAAATTAGAATCATTTAAACTTTTATGGATTACAATTAACCCTTTGATGTGCAACATATGAATCATAAATTTATTAATTTAATTATAGTTTAGTTTTATGTGTTCTTTAGGTATAAAGATTTCATGTGTTCTTTAGGTATAATTTAAAGCATTGTGGTTCTGGCTTTAACTTTTCAGTAATTTTCCTGATGATTCTGTTTGGCTTATCTGTAGGGCTGACAAATTATTTGGTATTTGACTGAATTATCATTATTACTTTTACAATTATTTAAAACATATCTCTGTTTTTAGTAAAACAAGAACAAATCTGAGTTACCAGAGAAGAACCTTGTTTGTAAAGCAAATTGAAATTAGAAAAGCTGTAACGTTTAGTACTTTGAAACACATGTTTTTAAGCTTAAACATCAACATATAAACCCACATTTTAATGAAAACTGCTTCAAATTTGACTTTTTGGACTGTATAATGTTTTGTTGTTTAATTTCCAACAGATTACATTAAACAGCTATTGTGTCTGTCAGGTTATCATGTCTGTCCAGTTAAATAGGATTGGAGCCTCTGATATGATAGAGCTGCTCTATCACTGAGTCACATGGTGCCCAGAGAAAACAAACGGACTGACACAGGAACAAAGAAAGATTATTTTATCCCCAAAATATTCTGTATCAAGAAAGATTTTTTTTTTTTTTACCTAATAAAGACTGGCATTAAAATAAAAAACAAAATCCTCATTAAAAAAAACATTTTCTAAACAGACAAACAGCATCAAGACAAAAGTAAAAGAAGTCCAAAGTATTTTAGTCAATCACGTCAACTAAAGGTCTAAAGGTTGTTTTTTTTAAGTTATGTAATAACTTCCAACCCTCCTCAATTTTTCCAGAAGATAAACGTGGACCAATGTTCTGCTTTGGAGCTTTAGTCTTATAAATATTGTTTACTAATGTTATTTGTTGTTCATAGCAACAGATAAACTCATTAAACATTTAAACAGAGTCAGATTTTATTATTCTACAATAAAGACCTAACCTCACCAGTTTTATAAATGGTGACCTTGTTGCTGTTTTCAGTGTAGAAAACTGGATCTCCTCTTCTTCCTCTGCAGCTATATAGACCTCCCTCTGAGATGCTGAGGACTCCATGTGGTTCATTGAATCTGATGGGCTGATCTCCAAAAGACTCTGACTTCTGTCTGAACCCAACCCAGTCTCATGGGAAAATGTACCCCCACTACGTTGGTCCACACTGCAAAACGTAGTGGAGGTACATTAATGGCCATTTTTTTGTGGTACTGTTACGTTTCTTCTGCCTATACGCTTTCTATTGTTTTACGTCCTAGTCACGTGACTTTCAAGATTCCAGCTGGGAGAAGAAAAAAAATAAATATATGGCCGACATTCGCTCATTTTTTGTGGAAAGATTAATGACTTGAGTTTGTTTTTGCATTAAAATGAGTTTTGATTACATTTCTAGTGAGAAATGTATAGTTTGTTGCCAGAATATTTACTCAGGGAATGTACATATTCACTTGCTTGTTCGTTTCTTGCAAAGATTTTTCAAGATAATGTGAAACTGTAACATTTTGGTATAAACATGGCTGAGATTTCTCTAACATTTAGTGGGAAAATCAATAATTTCAATCAGTTTCTGCATTTAAATGGGTTTTGATTACATTTATAGCGAGAAGTGTAGGGTTTATTGTAAATTACCTTTATTATGATCAAACATGTCAGTTAATTTGTTGTTTTTATTTTTGTGTAATTGGTGTTATGAAAAGCGACTCGATGTCAGCTCACTATTTTTTATTTTTTTTTTATATTTAGAAAAGGCAATTTCCGTTGTATTTTAAAAGTCGCTCGGCGAGACCCCTTCACTTCCGGTTTTTCTTTTAACGCTTACTAACTGACGGTAAATTGCAGTAAAGGTATTCCGAAGTTTATAAAAGGCACTAGCACCTGGCTATACAGGGCACAAGGTTTGTTTTAATTATTTTTCATGTTATATTGTGTCCGGTTGGAGTTTGATGATTGTTTCATGGATGTAACATGTGTTAGGTGTAGCAAGTTTTAGCCTTGTATCTGTCTTTTTATAGCTAAGCTAATTCGTTTGTTTTATTAATAGCTCAGAATAATTTGTGTGTTTATCTGCAATCTGCTTAGTTTAAACGGTTGTTTATTAGATTAAAAGGAAATGTAATTGTGGTTTTCTACTTTTATTTTCTTATAGCTCTTAAGGTGAGTTCATATGCTGCCTTCAAAGACCATTCTAAAATAAAGGAATATGAACCATCAGTTAAAGAGTCAGACCATCAATTAGCCGGGACGCTACAGTAAGAGCTTCACCCCATCAGTCCCTCCACACTGTTAATCAAAGGAAGAGCAGAGGGACTTATGTGATGGTCAAGGATTGTGACACCTACACAACATGGAAGCATCAGTCAAAACACCTCCAGAAGACAGAGACTCTGAACAGACAACGGATAAGGCAAATGAAGAAGAGCATCTCCGTCGCTCTGGTCGTGTACGGAATCCAACTGAAAAGATGCTTGCATATCAGGAAGAGGAGGCTCACAAGAAGGAAAAAAGGTTAGTTCACATTTATGAACAATGGAAAACCCAAGCACGTAAGGCTAGAGAGCAACTAAAGGAAAATATTCCTGAAAGTGACATTGCAGCTCTTATAGACACACTGGAGGAGGGAAAGAGCAGTGTTATCAACATGTACATGGAACTTAGAGCTCACCTCACTCCATCCAGCGACATAAGGCGTCGCATCGATGCTTGTGAGGCAGTTACAAGGGACATTATAAAAATTGGTCTTGAAAGGATATCAGGCATTGATGGAGAATATGACGGTGAAACAGTAAGGCAAAGTCTACATGAGCTTCTTAACAGAGATTATGCTCGCTCCATCTATGGCTCCACAGCTTCACCTTCAAGTCATCACTCAAGTAAAGGTTCCAGCCACCATTCTGTCATAGCCGCAAAAAGAGCAGATGCTGCAGCAGAACTAGCAGCTAAGGAAGCCGAGTATGAACTGTTATTGAAGGAGGAGAAACAAAAAGAAAAGATTCAACTGCTAGAGGAGCAACAGAGGAAAGAACTTGAAGCTCAAAAACGTGAACTGGAAAGATTAAAGGAAGAGAAAGACATTAGAGCTGCACGAGCTAGGCTCACAACCTATGAGCAGGAAGTTATGCAGGAAGCAAGTGTTCATTCTACTGCATGGCTGGATCAGAGGAGAACAAGAGAACAACAGCCTGTGTATACTGAGAAACCTGTGTCCTCAGCTCTCCTCCAGCAGCCTACTGATGTCAGAGAGACAGCGTCACATGCACGGACAGATGTAAGTTATCTCGCTCAAGCTGTCCAAGATAGCATAGCTTTGAACAGGCTTCCAATGCCAGAACCATCCATATTTACTGGTGATCCTATTCAGTTTGTCGAATGGAAGGCTTCATTCACATCTCTCATTGATAAAAAGAATATTGCCTCAGCTGATAAACTGCATTATTTGAAAAAATATGTTGCAGGCCCAGCTAGAAAGACACTTGATGGCATATTTTATAGAAATGATGATGAAGCTTATAATGATGCATGGAACCGTCTCAACAGAAGGTATGGTCAGCCATTTGTTATACAAAAGGCATTCAGGGAAAAACTAACAAACTGGCCAAAGATCCATCCAAAAGATGCAGAAGGCCTCAGAGCATTTGCTGACTTTTTACACTCATGTCTAGAAGCAATGCCTTATATTAAAGGTCTTGATATTTTAAATGATTGTGAAGAAAATCAGAAACTTGCTCAAAAGCTACCTGATTGGACAGCATCACAGTGGAATCGGAAAGTCACCCAAGTCATGAGAGATGATCAGGAATTTCCCACTTTCCAAGAGTCACCTGAAGGAAAAGAAATATAAATCTAGTGTTTATCACACACAAGCAGTAGCAGAGACTGAAACTCAGGGACAGTTAAAAACAAGTCAAAAGCCACCATGTATGTTCTGTCAGAACAGTAAACATCAACTTCATCACTGTCCCGAGTTCAAAGGAAAGGATCTGGAGGAACGACGGAAGTATGTGAAAGACAAGAAACTTTGTTATGGCTGCTTGAGGACAGGCCATAATGCAAAAGATTGCCGCAACAGACCTTCATGTGAGAACTGTAAAGGAAGACATCCTACACTTCTTCATGACGATAACTACACCAAAGCTAAACCCACATCAGTCCCAAATATAAGCACCACAGAGGAAACAGCATCTACATTGTCTCTTAGTGTGACAACCAAGGAGCCATCCACTAACACCTCGATGATCGTACCTGTGTGGGTTTCTTCTATCAGTAATCCAGGTATGGAAAAACTTGTTTATGCTCTGCTTGATAGTCAAAGTGACACAGTTTTTATTGATGAAGAAGTTAGTAACAGTTTGCAAGTCAAGACACATCCTGTAAGGTTGAAGCTAACAACAATGACAGGAAAGGACACAATAATGCATAGTCAAAGAGTGTCAGATTTGAGAGTGAGAGGTTACAGCTCTGCCACCTACATCGATCTCCCCCCTGTTTACACCAAGGACTCTATACCAGTGAATCGAACGCACATTCCTACCTGTGACACGGCACGGCACTGGAATCATCTAATCAAAATTGCAGATGAAATCCCATCACAGCTGGAATGTGAAGTCGGTCTGCTGATCGGCTACAATTGCTCAAGAGCGCTGGCACCACGGCAGGTAATCCTGGGAGGAGACAATGAACCATATGCTGTTCGTACGGATCTTGGTTGGAGTATTGTAGGCTGTTCATTACCTCATCATGACTCACCAAGCAGCACAAACATGTGTCACAGGGTTTCTGTCAGAGAGCTTCCTCCTGTAACTCCAGCAGAGGCCCTCAGAGTCCTTGAATCTGATTTTAAGGATGCTAACAAGGATGAAAAGACTGTTTCCCAAGATGACATCCACTTCCTAGATGTGTTAAAGGAAGGAATCAGGAGAAACAGTAATGGACATTATGAGATGCCTCTCCCCTTTAAAGAGAGACCCCATCTCCCTAACAATAAGCAACAAGCTCTGGTACGGCTAAATCAACTCAAAAGAAAGCTAATGAAAGATGACAAGTACAGAGAGCACTATATAAACTTTATGGATGAAATTATCCAAAAGGGTGAAGCAGAGGAGGTTTGTGATCAAGGAAAAGAAGGAGAGAGATGGTATATTCCCCACCACGGAGTCTATCACTCTAAAAAACCCGATAAACTCCGTGTAGTTTTTGACTGTTCTGCCAAGCACAAGGGAACAAACCTGAATGACCACCTTCTGTCAGGGCCAGATCTGCTAAATAATCTGAATGGTGTGCTTCTCAGATTCAGAAAGCACTACATTGCATTGATGTGTGACATCGAAAAGATGTTCCATCAGTTCTATGTTTATAAAGCTGACAGAGACTACCTACGCTTCTTGTGGTGGAAAGACAGCAACTTCAATGCAGAGCCGTAAGAATTCAGAATGAAAGTGCATCTCTTTGGTGCGGCGTCATCGCCAGGATGCGCTAACTATGGACTGAAGCAGCTTGCTAAAGACAATGAGATGGAATTTCCACTTGGATCACAATTCATCATGAAGGATTTTTATGTTGATGATGGTGTTACCAGTATAGAAAATGTGGATGATGCTATTCAGCTTGCACAAGAAGCGCAGAAGCTCTGTGCTAGAGGTGGTCTAAGATTGCACAAGTTTGTGTGTAACAACAGAGCTGTACTGGAGAGTATACCATCATCTGAGCATAATGCTGAAGTGAAAGCTCTGGATCTGGTCTTCAAGGATGTGACTTTAGAGAGAGCCTTGGGTATCCACTGGCACATCGCATCAGACACCTTCAGATTTCGTCTCAGCCTAAAAGACCAGCCAGCAACACGACGTGGTATCCTGTCAACGGTGGCATCCATTTTTGACCCGCTGGGATTTATTGCCCCTATCCTGCTAACTGGGAAAAGGGTGCTTCAGGAAATATGTAGACATGGCATAGGCTGGGACGATCCCCTGCCCTGTGAACTGCAACCAGTGTGGGAGCGCTGGAAGAAGGATCTTACAAATTTAGAGAAAATCACTGTACCACGCTGCTATGTGCCTCCTGGTTTCGGCCGAGTTGTGAAAAGGGAGCTACATCATTTTTCTGATGCGAGCACATGTGGTTATGGACAGTGTTCATATCTGAGACAAGTGAATGAAGGTGGAAATGTCCATTGTGCTCTGGTCATGGGGAAATCCAGAGTGGCTCCAATCAAGGTCACAACGATACCTCGGCTAGAACTGGCAGCCGCTGTTGTGTCAGCCACAGCAAGCAACACTTTGAAGGAGGAGCTTGGTTTGACAGATGTTGTTGAATATTTCTGGACCGATTCGAAAGTGGTCTTGGGATATATTCACAACGAGGCACGTCGTTTTCACACCTTCGTCGCAAATCGGATACAGAAAATACAACTCAGCTCCTCTCCTCAGCAATGGAGGTATGTCTCAACTAAGGATAACCCAGCAGATATTGCATCCAGGGGATCAAGTGCAAGTGAGATTCTCATTTCAAGCTGGTTTTCAGGACCTCAATTCTTGCAGGAAAAGGAGATTCCGCCAGCTACAAATGTCTGCACAGAAATACAGATTGGAGACCCCGAAGTGAAGAGGATTCAGATTCTTAGAACACAGAAACAGGAACAGTTAAGTCTCTCAGATCGCTTGTCAAAGTTTTCTTCATGGTCAAAGGCAATCCAGGCTGTTGCTCGTCTTATTCGTCGTGTTAAGAATGACAAGTCGACAAACCACAGCACTGTACAAGAGCAAGAACACGCACAACGCATCATCATAAGAGACTTACAGAGACAAGTGTATCCAGAAGAGATAAAGTTGCTCAGTAAGGTAGCTCAACTTCCTTCTCAGAGTAAACTGTTTAAGATGGATGTCTTTCTTGATCAGGATGGACTTCTTAGGGTGGGAGGAAGACTGAAAAATGCATCACTACCTACCTCACTGAAGCATCCAGTCGTTATACCGAAAAATCATCACATCACCAAGGCAATAATTGCTCATTGTCATGAGAAAGTGCAGCATCAGGGTAAGGGTCTAACTATTAATGAGATTAGATCAAATGGATTCTGGATTCCAGGAATCAACAGAGCTGTGGCAACGCATTTACATCAATGTGTTACATGTCGGAAACTCAGAAGGTTCACAGAGAAACAACGTATGGCAGATTTGCCACCTGAGCGTGTGGATCCATCACCACCTTTCACCTACTGTGGGATGGACTGTTTTGGTCCGTTTCTCACTAAACAAGGACGCAAGGTACAAAAGAGATACGGCTTGCTTTTCACCTGCCTTTGCTGTCGAGCTATTCACATTGAAATGTTAGACGACATGTCGACAGATGCCTTCATAAACGGACTCCGATGTTTCATCGCCATAAGAGGAGCAGTACGCGACATAAAGTGTGACCAAGGAACGAACTTCGTTGGAGCTAGAAATGAACTTAATGAAGCTCTCAAACAAGTGGATGCTAACCGCCTGACCACATTTTTGGCTGAGAAACAATGTGACTTTAGTATGAACGCTCCACATGCAAGCCATGCTGGAGGCGTATGGGAGAGACAGATCCGAACGGTGAGGAATATTCTTCGTTTCACTCTTTCATCTTCATCAGGCAGGCTGGACGATGCCTCTTTACGGACATTCTTTTATGAGGCAGCAGCTATTGTAAACAGCCGTCCACTCACAGTTGACAGCTTAAATGATCCAGACAGTCCAGAGCCACTAACACCTAATCACCTGCTTACCATGAAACCTACAGCAGCTTTACCACCTCCTGGCAGATTCATCAGAGAGGACCTGTATGCTCGCAAGAGGTGGCGGCGTGTACAGTATTTGGCCGAGCTGTTCTGGGGTCGGTGGAGAAGAGAGTATGTCTATAATATCACCACCAGACAACGTTGGCATAATCCAAGAGGAAATCTCAAGGTCGGCGACATTGTGCTGAAAAAGACAGAGGATTTACCTCGCAATGAGTGGAAATTGGCTAAAGTTGAAGAGACAATAACTGATAAAGATGGACTAGTGAGGAGAGTAAAGATTCGTGTTGGAGATCGGAAGATAGGAAGGAATGGACAGCGTTCAGGCAAGCCATCCATCATTGAACGTCCAGTACAGAAGCTGGTCCTGCTCTTAGAGACTGCTTAATCATCTGCTTCACTCCTCTGCCATATCCTTTGCTTTATGAAGAGTTTAAGGACCTCTCTTTTTTTTTTTTACTCAAGTATTAAAGGTTGCATGGTTTAGAAATCATTCATGCTTTACATCCCATAATTGATGAAAACCAGTAATGATTTGGTGGGAGTGTAAATTACCTTTATTATGATCAAACATGTCAGTTAATTTGTTGTTTTTATTTTTGTGTAATTGGTGTTATGAAAAGCGACTCGATGTCAGCTCACTATTTTTTATTTTTTTTTTATATTTAGAAAAGGCAATTTCCGTTTTATTTTGAAAGTCGCTCGCCGAGACCCCTTCACTTCCGGTTTTTCTTTTAACGCTTACTAACTGACGGTAAATTGCAGTAAAGGTATTCCGAAGTTTATAAAAGGCACTAGCACCTGGCTATACAGGGCACAAGGTTTGTTTTAATTATTTTTCATGTTATATTGTGTCCGGTTGGAGTTTGATGATTGTTTCATGGATGTAACATGTGTTAGATGTAGCAAGTTTTAGCCTTGTATCTGTCTTTTTATAGCTAAGCTAATTCGTTTGTTTTATTAATAGCTCAGAATAATTTGTGTGTTTATCTGCAATCTGCTTAGTTTAAACGGTTGTTTATTAGATTAAAAGGAAATGTAATTGTGGTTTTCTACTTTTATTTTCTTATAGCTCTTAAGGTGAGTTCATATGCTGCCTTCAAAGACCATTCTAAAATAAAGGAATATGAACCATCAGTTAAAGAGTCAGACCATCAATTAGCCGGGACGCTACATTTATTTACATAATATTTACTTAGTGAACATACATAATCACCCGCTTGCTAGTTTTTGCTACGTTTTTCGGATCTCGTCAGGATTATGTGAAATTGCAACGTTTTGGCTGCTAGCCATCGCCTAGCATTTAGCTGCCGCCCCGATTCAACATTGAATTCTTTGTGATTTAACTCCATCTGACGGATCAAACCCTCGCCACTGCGGCGTTGCGTCTGAGGTTGATTTTCAGATCAATGCATTACGTCGTGGCATACGGGAGAAACTAATTAAACTAGTTAAAAAAAAGGATCATGGGTTAAGATCGGATGTGTTTTATTTGGAAATCTACCGGATCCTTTGTGCAATTAACTTCCTGTTTGGTGCGATCTCATTGATGGGTTTTGACCAGATTTTGACCAAAGAGGAACTAAAAAAAAAAAAAAAAAAAAAAACAATTTGAATACACAACCAGCATATCTGGAATCAGTGACAGAGAGCGACTGGGACCAGAAGTTTATTAATTTCTCCCCACTGATTTCCATTCAAAATGTTTTCTATCCCACCGGGCTCTAGGGAAAGGGCGTGCATACCGCCACCTACTGTTCATGAGTGTGTAGCAACATTGTTTTACATCTATTAAATTCTATTTTTTAATTTTGTATTCTGAAGATAAATAAATAATGCTTTCCTTAATCTATAAATATCTTTTATATTTCCTTTATTTCCCAATAATCCTTTAAGACTCCATTCTTGGCCTGTCCTCTTTTCAATTTCTTCCTTTCAGGTTCATATGTTTTGCAGTTCATCAATACATCTGCATTTTCTATCTCTCCACATCCTTCACATTTATCATTATTTTTCCTCCCTATTAAGTATAAATTGTCATTTAAATAAGTATGACCTACTCTTAATCTGATCATTATTATTTCTTCCCTTCGGTTTTTCTCATTAATATTTCTATTTAATACTGACTTTTGTACTTTATATAACCTTCTTCCTTTTTATCTTCATTCCACCTTTTTTTGCCATTTTTCAATTTCTTTCCTCTTAATAAATGATTTTCCTTTCCCTAAAGGAATTGTAATTGTTATTGCCTCCTCTAATTGCTAATTTGTCTACTACTACTACATTTTCCCACTTTGACCTTTTAAGGTTAGCATATTGACCAAAAGCTGACACCAAAAATAAAGCAATCGATTATGTACAACAATATGCTACATTTAATGAAGACTAATACAGATTTTACTCTCTTATAAGAATTAGTTTCAGGTTTTATAGGGGAGAGTTTGTATCGGCAGTCATCTGGGAATCTTTTATGTATTTACTGGTAAAGAACAACCTCTCAACCCATTTAATGTAAATGTTGCATCGAACCAGAAAGTTATTTGAAGAGCATAGATGCATAAATATATGCATAGCTTTAACAAGGGCCTCATGAAGGTCTGTTCTGTTATTCTCTTTTGGAGAATATAGACATTGTGGGCATTCATTTCCCTGATAAGCTGGTGAAGATTCTTAGACATCCAGGTCATAATCATTCCAAAAAAAAACAAAAAACTTTGGACTTTGTTTTTCAAGTTTGAAGACTTCCCATTCAGGACGTTTTTCAATACAAAATTACAGTAGCCCAACAAATCCTTGTTTTGGCTAGGAAAATATGCAAATTGAACCTGATGCCTGATCCCGATAGCTTGACTCTGAACCGAATTTGATCCCTATTACTTTTTGGCCACATGCACATTATTGTGCTGCCTGGTCAACCCTAAGAAAATGTTCTGGAACTGCCACTGAACTGACACCCAATGCATGGAGGGTAACCCAAAAAGGGCCATTGTTAGAGAAACTGGGTGCCTACAAAGTGCTGTTTTCAAGCTAATTAATGGAAAGTTAGCTGGAATGAAAAGTAGACAAATAACAATTACAATTCCTTTAGGGAAAGGGGAAGGAAAATCATTTATTAAGAGGAAAGAAATTGAAAAATGGCAAAAAAAAAAAAGGTGGAATGAAGATAAAAAGGAAGAAGGTTATATAAAGTACAAAAGTCAGTATTAAATAGAAATATTAATGAGAGAAACCGAAGGGAAGAAATAATAATGATCAGATTAAGAGTAGGTCATACTTATTTAAATGACAATTTATACTTAATAGGGAGGAAAAATACTGATAAATGTGAAGGATGTGGAGAGATAGAAAATGTATAACATGTATTGATGAACTGCAAAACATCTGGACCTGAAAGGAAGAAATTGAAAAGAGGACAGGCCAAGAATGGAGTCTTAAAGGATTATTGGGAAATAAAAGAAATATAAAAGATATTTATAGATTAAGGAAAGCATTATTTATTTATCTTCAGAATAAAAAATTAAAAAATAGAATTTAATAGATGTAAAACAATGTTGCTACACACTCATGAACAGTAGGTGGCGGTATGCCCGCCCCTTCCCTAGAGCACGGTGGGATAGAAAACATTTTGAATGGAAATCAGTGGGGAGAAATTAATAAACTTCTGGTCCCAGTCGCTCTCTGTCATTGATTCCAGATATGCTGGTTGTGTATTCAAATTGTTTTTTTTTTTTTTTTTTAGTTCCTCTTTGGTCAAAATCTGGTCAAAACCCATCAATGAGATCGCACCAAACAGGAAGTTAATTGCACAAAGGATCCGGTAGATTTCCAAATAAAACACATCCGATCTTAACCCATGATCCTTTTTTTTAACTAGTTTAATTAGTTTCTCCCGTATGCCACGACGTAATGCATTGATCTGAAAATCAACCTCAGACGCAACGCCGCAGTGGCGAGGGTTTGATCCGTCAGATGGAGTTAAATCACAAAGAATTCAATGTTGAATCGGGGCGGCAGCTAAATGCTAGGCGATGGCTAGCAGCCAAAACGTTGCAATTTCACATAATCCTGACGAGATCCGAAAAACGTAGCAAAAACTAGCAAGCGGGTGATTATGTATGCTCTCTGTCATTGATTCCAGATATGCTGGTTGTGTATTTAAATTGTTTTTTTTTTTTTTTTTTAGTTCCTCTTTGGTCAAAATCTGGTCAAAACCCATCAATGAGATCGCACCAAACAGGAAGTTAATTGCACAAAGGATCCGGTAGATTTCCAAATAAAACACATCCGATCTTAACCCATGATCCTTTTTTTTAACTAGTTTAATTAGTTTCTCCCGTATGCCACGACGTAATGCATTGATCTGAAAATCAACCTCAGACGCAACGCCGCAGTGGCGAGGGTTTGATCCGTCAGATGGAGTTAAATCACAAAGAATTCAATGTTGAATCGGGGCGGCAGCTAAATGCTAGGCGATGGGTAGCAGCCAAAACGTTGCAATTTCACATAATCCTGACGAGATCCGAAAAACGTAGCAAAAACTAGCAAGCGGGTGATTATGTATGCTCTCTGTCATTGATTCCAGATATGCTGGTTGTGTATTTAAATTGTTTTTTTTTTTTTTTTTTAGTTCCTCTTTGGTCAAAATCTGGTCAAAACCCATCAATGAGATCGCACCAAACAGGAAGTGAAATGCACAAAGGATCCGGTAGATTTCCAAATAAAACACATCCGATCTTAACCCATGATCCTTTTTTTAACTAGTTTAATTAGTTTCTCCCGTATGCCACGACGTAATGCATTGATCTGAAAATCAACCTCAGACGCAACGCACGCAGTGGCGAGGGTTTTATCCGTCAGATGGAGTTAAATCACAAAGAATTCAATGTTGAATCGGGGCGGCAGCTAAATGCTAGGCGATGGGTAGCAGCCAAAACGTTGCAATTTCACATAATCCTGACGAGATCCGAAAAACGTAGCAAAAACTAGCAAGCGGGTGATTATGTATGTTCACTAAGTAAATATTATGTAAATAAACCCTACACTCCTCGCTATAAATGTAATCAAAAACCCATTTAAATGCAGAAACTGATTGAAATTATTGATTTTCCCACTAAAAGTTAGAGAAATCTCAGCCATGTTTATACCAAAATGTTACAGTTTCACATTATCTTGAAAAATCTTTGCAAGAAACGAACAAGCAAGTGAATATGTACATTCCCTGAGTAAATATTCTGGCAACAAACTATACATTTCTCACTAGAAATATAATCAAAACTCATTTTAATGCAAAAACAAACTCAAGTCATTAATCTTTCCACACAAAAATGAGCGAATGTCGGCCATATATTTATTTTTTTTCTTCTCCCAGCTGGAATCTTGAAAGTCACGTGACTAGGACGTAAAACAATAGAAAACGTATAGGCAGAAGAAACGTAACAGTACCACAAAAAAATGGCCATTAATGTACCTCCACTACGTTTTGCAGTGTGGACCAACGTAGTGGGGGTACATTTTCCCATGAGACTGGGTTGAACCAGTCAAGCTTCCAGCCAGTAGAGATGGACACATAGCAGGTCAGTGTTACACTGCCCCCTAGTGGTGTTATTTCCTGATCTGCTGTTAGTGAGGCTGTGGGTTTATCTGCTGGAGGAAACAAACAGAAAACAGACCATTATTAGAATGAGATTTTGTTTTAGGAAAATGTTCACTGAAATAAATCAGACTTTATTCTCTGAGTGAGTCATTTAGCTTCTGTCACAAAGCTTAGAAATATTGTTCAAACATGGAGACACGGGAAATACCAATTTTATCATGTTTATAAATGATCAAGTGTAGATAGAGGAACAAACCCTTTATTTATTTATTTAATTTGTGCCTCTAAATGAATATTTACAATGCTGCCCGCCAATGGTGATTTCATCACTGCAATGGCTCTTAGCAGGCGGGCTTAGCCCGCCAACTGAGCTTTACCCACTGCAGTTCAATATGAACAACCCATATTACCCTTGTGCATCATAGGCTGTGCACGTCTATTTCCCAGATTTCAGCCAAAGTGGCACACAGCTCTCTGTGCCCATGGGCTTGCCCTCTCTCCTTCCCTCAGCAGCCCTCAAAGGCGTAAGCAGTTGGTCTGGGGAGCCCCGACATCACTTGCCAGGGCCGTAATGGCCCGGTA